CCTAAGAAGAATCAAGGTCTGCTGTGAACCAAGGTCCTTCCTCAAAAGAGTCACCAGCTTTCCTGGGAACAGTGAAGTGGTGTGATAAGAAAACAGTGAAATGATGTGATAAGTAAACAGTGAAATGGTGTGACAAGCAAACCAGTTTTTAAGAATTATTTTTGTTTACAAGTGAAAACCCATCGCTTTCTGAGCACTTCTGGGGCACCTGCAATGATGCATTTCCTCTGTCAGGGAGATTACAGTCTTGCAAGATTGGTAAAGAGGAAAGCAATTGATTTTATCTGTTTAAAGGCACAAAAACACACTCTGTTAGTCACTCAGGGAGACACTGAGCACCCCCAAACACCCCAAGCTGAATCTCAAATCTCTCTCTCCTCCACATCCTGCTCGAGACAGGAGGTAAATCCTGGCTGCAGATTTGGATATTCCTCTTCATGTTAGACTTTTTAAAAATCCCTCCACTTCTTTCACCTTACTTTGCTTTCCTGGCAGCAGTTTTTGATATTCCTCTTCATGTTAGACTTATTAAAAATCCCTTCACTTTTCTCACCTAACTTTGCTTTCCTGGCTGCATATTTTGATATTCCTCTTCATGTTAGACTTCTCCAAAATCTCTGAATTTCTCTCACCTAACTTTCCTTTCATGGCTGCATATTTTGATATTTCTCTTCATGTTAGACTTCTCCACAATCTCTCCACTTCTCTCACCTAATTTTCCTTTCCTGGCTGCATATTTAGACATTCCTCTTCATGTTAGACTTCTTCAAAATCTCTCTTCTCTCACCTCACTTTGCTTTCCTGGCTGCATATTTTGATATTCCTCTTCATGTTAGACTTCTCCAAAGTCTCTCTTCTCTCACCTAACTTTTCTGGCTGCCAGCAGCTCTCAGCCCTACCCTGACACTGGCAGGGATGATGTGGGGATGGAGTTTGGGTATCAGGCCAACATTGCCAGTCACTCAGATTTATTAACCCTTATGCAAGTCAATTAATGTAGCTCAGCCTCAGAAGTGGGACAGTGACAATGACAATGACATTTGCATAACGATTGGAGGTGTTGGTAATCAGCCTGAATAATGAAAAGCATTTCCCTGTCTCTGTGTCAGTGTGTGAGCATTGAGAAACCATTTATTTGTCACATGCACGTGCCACCATCTCCAGCAGAATTCAGCCTTTGTGGTGCTTTTTTACTTCTCGTGATCCCTCAGGAGTTCTGAGTCATCTGAGGCTGTTTGAAATGAGGGTTGAGAGGTAAGAACTATGTTCTTCCACCCTGCTGGATGTTAATAGAGACAATTTGCTAATTGCTTCCTGCTGAGTGGAAATGCCTCCTTTGCTGGAGGGAGGTTTGGGGTGGAGGTGGAGGTTCTGCACCAGGCACATCTGTGCAAGTTGTCAAACAACAGCATTTTGGGGAAATTATCTTTTCTGTTATTTCTAGGAACTGAGAACCCCAGTGGAAGAAAAAAAAGCAGAATGTTTTTGTGCTCGTTTCTCAAGTTCCTGCCAACATTTCTCTTTGTTTTCTTCCCTGAGAGAAAGGAAGCACAACCTGGCTCAGAGTGCTGAGCTGCTCGTGGTGCCAGGAAGGAGATGTTTGAAAGTGTGAAAAATGTGTATTTTATGATTGGCTTTTGGCAAATATTAAAATGAATATTATATGTGTTGTGTTAGAAAGTCATGCTGTATTAATTCTCTTAAGTAATGTGGTAAATATAGTTTTAGGTTATAAAAATGTTAAAATAGAAACTGTGCTATGTAGGATATTTTTTTTAAAGAAAGGATTGCAGGGAGATAGCAGCCACAGGACACCTAGGTCTTTCAGAGAGAAAGAATTTATTGCTCCACTATCAGAAGAAATGAACTTCTTCCCCCTTGAAGCTGCTGTTAGGATTCAGAGGAAGAAGTTGATGATGACCAGACAGAATCCTGTATTTGAATGGAATTTATGCATCATGTGTGAGGTGTATGAATATGCAACAGGCTGTTGTTTTTAAGGGTTAATTCTCTGCTCGTGCTGCCCAGAAGAGGTACCCAGACTGTCTGTAACTCTTTGTCTCTATTGTCTCATATTGTCCTAATTCAAATTGTCCAAATTATTATTACTCTAATTGCATTACTATTTTTATAACCATTTCATTACTATCAATCTTTTAAAATTTTAAAAACAAGCGATTGGCGTTTTTCACAAAAGGGACCCAAACCCCTCTGTCTGTGCTGTCCCTGCACTGTGGGGAGGGAAGAGCTGCCACAGCCCAGGACTCTCATCCCAAGAGCCCAGCAGAGCTCCAAGGTCGCTGCTGAACCTGCCCAGCTCGGAGCTGCTGTTCTAACAGCAGCCCTTTATAAATAGGACAGGCTCAGCTGCTTAGCAGCCTTATCTCCACAATTACAGGGATAAGAGCTGCTCCTGCTGCAGGGTTCAGGCCTCTTACAAAATGTTGAGCAACAGCAGGGCAGTGGCTGCGCTGTGGGAAGGGCAGCCTGCCACTTGAAGGGTTTATTTTTGAGCAGCCAATGTACGTTGTCATGCCTGTGAGAAATGGGCATTTTATTATTGCCTTTTCACAAGTATTAAAACGAATATTATATGTGTTATGTTAGAAAGTAATGCTGTATTAATTCTCTTAAGCAGTGTGGTAAATATAGTATATTTATATTATTTAAATATAAATATACTTAAGAAAGGGATGAGATAATCAAGAAATTCTTCGCACAGAGAGAACAGCAACAGGTGATTGCTGTTTTTCACAGTGGGGATTTTTCACTTTCACCCTGGTGAATTTGGAAAAGCCCATCCCAAGAGCCAGCCCTGCTCAGTGAGTGGTGGCTGCTGTGTCCATCCTGGGATGGTTTTTCCCTTCAGGTTTCAAGGCAATTTTTGACTCCCTAAAGCTGAATTCCTGCCTAGCTTCATGTTTTGGTGTCCCTTTACACTTTGAGAATCCCTTCCAGCACATTCAAGACGTTTGAGGCTCTGAGATCTCATTAACCCCACAGAGCTGTGAATTGTTGCCTTCATTCCTTGCTCTGGGCTCTGGGATGAAGGACTAAAGAGGAATTTTGCCTCAAAATCCTGTACTTTCAAGAGTGGTGTAACATGGCCAGTGGTTTTCCCACATCTAGCAACTGCTTCCTCTTTTTCAAGTTTGTTTCAGCCTTTACTGACCATCAGTTATTTACAGCTCCCTGGTTCCCCAAAAACAAATTACTACATAAAGGAAGAAGAAAAAAAAAAAATCCCCAAGTGCCACATTCTCTTATGATGTAATTTGCTCTTACTGTGTGAGTTCATCCTGTGTGATTTATCCCATGAGTGTGGCCTCTTTAAAGCAGAACATGCAATTTTGAAATTACAAAACCTGATAGGTTTGGTAACTGAAGAATTGTTTTCTCACTGGCATCCACCCAGGCGCTTGATCCTCCCTCTGCTGAAGTTGTGACAAAGCTGCTGATGATTTTCAGGTACCAAAACCTTTTATTTTATTTTTTTCTTCAAGTAGAGACTGGAGAATGGTTTTTTTACATTTCACCACTTAAATCTGTGTTTGAGAGGAGTGATCCTCACAAAGCGGTGTGGGCTGTGGAGCAGTTTTGTGTCACAAAGGGCATTTCCCAGATGATGAAAGGCCGGATTAAGGTAAAAGTTGGTGACTGATATTGTGAGCAGGGCGTGAGGGATGTGCCTACAGCCACACCCTGGGCCAAGGGCGGTGTGAGCTGCAGGGAAAAGGCAGGAGGAGAGCAGGGGATGGTGCAGTGTGTGCTCGAGCTGAGGGGCATGGAGGAGGTGAGAGAAATGGGTGTGGGATGGGGGGCTTGGAGGGATGGGATGGTGGGAGGTAAAACGGCTGGAGGGATGGGATGTGTTAGGAAAATTAATCTACAAACACCAGAGGTTTATGTCCGAAAAGGAGACTGAGGAGTCCCTTTTTTGCTTTATTCCAATAAAGGGAGAGGCCATGGGGCATTCCACTGGGGTTTCTCCAATTTTTGGAGGACCCAGCCTCCTTTTTATCCCAATTTCCTAGCCACATTTCCCTTCTCTCTTTCCCCGTTTCTGAGGTACTTGAGAGGTTCAGACTTCCCCAACCACCCGATCCCAAAGATTCCCCTCTAATGTACAACCCTCCCTTTTCATTTTTAATTCTTACTGAATTTAGGGGTTTTTCTTCCCCATTGTTTCTTTCATCTCTCAATGTCCAATTTCATTTATCAGCAAACCTAAAGTTTATTTGTAAAAGCAAATATCTTTTTCCATTCATCAATCAGTGGAATCCTTCCCATGGTTTCTTTTATCTTCCAGTGCTGGTTTTATCTACCAGCAGCCCCATGGCTTGTTTGGAAAGACAAATCCACCATTCCTCTCAGATGGGATGGGATGGTTGAAGGTGTGGGATGGTGGAGGTGGGGAGACAAGGAATGGTTGGAGGTGGGATGGCTGGAGGGATGGGATGGTGGAAGTGGGGTGGTGAGGGGTGAGGTGGCTGCAAGGATGGGATGGTTGGAGGGATGGGATGGTGGAATTTGGAGGTGTGACTGTGGGGTGGTGTGAGGGGTCTGGGATGGTTGGAGGGATGGGATGGCTGGAAATTGGAGGTGTGATGGTCCAGGGGCTGAGGGGCCGTGTGAGGGGTGTGGGATGGCCGGAATTTGACGGTGTGACTGTGGGAGGCTGTGGGGTGCTGTGAGGGGTGTGCGATGGCCGGAATTCGGAGGTGTGACTGTGAGGGGTGTGGGCTGACCAAACGTATCCGCCGCCCGTATCCCCCGCCGGCACTTCCAACGCGGGTATAACCCGGTGCAATCCCGGCCGCTTCACACCCACAGCCCACCCAGCTCCCCCGCGGTTAATGACCGCTAATTAGCGCTAATCACCCCGCCGGCCAGAGCCGGCCCCGCGCAGCCGCCACCGCCCGCGCCTGCGCGCCGGGCCCGCGGCCGAACCGCGCCTGCGCGGGGGCGGCGGGGAGGGGACGATGGAGGCGCGCAGGGCCCGCCGGCCCCGCGCCCCTCACAGCGCCCAGCGCCGCCAGCAGCGCCGCGGGGCCCGGCCCTGAGCCACGCCGTGAGTCGGGGCGCGGGGGGAGCCGTGCGGGGCAGCCCGCGGGGTCCTGAGGGGAGAGCGGGGCGGGTGTCCCCGGTGCGCGCGTATGTGTCCGGTCCGCGTGTGTGTGTGTCCCCGGTGCGCGTCCGCGGTCCGTGTTGCCGGTGCGTGTCCCTCTGTCCCCTGCCCGGTGTCTGTCCCCGCCGGGGCCGCTCCGTGCCCGCGTGTGTCCCAAGTCCCGCATTCCCTCATTCCAGTGGCTCCGGGGCAGCCCCGAGGCCGGGGAACCCTTCCCGCAGGGATGGATCACGGGCCAGCCCCGCTGGTTGCCCCCCGAGGCCGGGTAACGCTTCCCGACTGAATTTGGGGGTGAATTCCAGGTTTTTAGGGACTGAATTTTGGGGTGAATTCCAGGGTTTTAGGGACTGAATTTCGGGGTGAATTCCACCTTTTAGGGGCTGAATTTTAGGTCTTTTTAGGGGAGACCCTCGGGGCTGCTCTCCCTGCACACCTCAGGAGGTGAATCGAGCTCATCCCGGGGCAGTTTGTGCCGGCCAGGACAGGGTATGGATCCTGTTTCCATCCTGGAATGCTGATTTTCTCCCATTTTCTATCATCAGGACTGTTAGGGAGTGGGGATTAATTACAGGACAGTAAAAACCCCTTCTCTGTGTTGTCATTACAGTGAGGGCCGGATTTGCTGTTCGCCCCCCGAGGTCCCACCCTGGGTTCGGGTGCCCGGGCCGCGCTGGGTCCGGCAGATGAAGGGTTAATAAATGGATTTGTTTTGCCTGGGCCGGGCACGCGTGATGCCCAAAGTGCCCGGGTTTGGGTGGAAATAGCATTTGGGTGTGTAATCAAAACCTAAAATTGTATCTGCTGCCAGGCTGCCGGGGTTTAATAGGGGTTGTGGTTCTCTGCAGGCTCGCTGGGATATGAAGTTCTAAACTAAACCAGGCTCTGTCTGTCTGATGATGTCTGTCTGTCTGTTCCTTCATTTTTTTGTGCGTGTGAGAGGGGGTTTAGTGCCTGGGGATGGAGTCACAGGCATGGAACCTCTGCTGGAGTGCTTTATTCAGCAAAATTCAACAAAAGAAAGCTCCGCAGAGCAGAGTGATCAAGCACACAGTGCTCTGTAGCAATGGGACAAGAGGTGCAGTTTTACATAGAACATTGTCCCCTTATGCCCCAAGAGAAAGTCAGTAATAAAGTACAAAATGAGTTTTGAATTACTGATATAATTTCTAAGAAATCACTTGGTGATTTCTTAGAAATTGCTTGGTTAAAGCACTGTGAGGATTTTGTCAGGATGGACCTTACAGTAATCCTATAACCAGGATGATTTAGGGCAGGGCATTGAGCAGGAAAAGTTTGTTATGAAAGAACAGCTTACAACCGTGGTCGTTATAAAACATAAAATTAAATACCCTGGTGATTTGCAGCCTTGCAGCTCCTGGAGTTGTATAAAGTTGGTTTGATGACCCTTGGGAAGTTCTTGTTCAAGGGAGCGTGGAATGAAATTAAAAATGGGAAACTGCAATAAAACTGGAGTTGGATATGTGTGAGAGGTGATTCACCTGGCTGTTTGTCACCATCACGGATATTTGTTGTTAAATGTTGACACTTTCTCAGTTGTCCTTCGTTCTGCAGTGCTGGACATTGAAATACTTGCTTTTCTCGTGTTGTTTTTATTTTGGCCATGATTTAAAACAGAGCAGCCTTTTCATGAGTTTGTTACCATGTGCTTAAAGGTTTTTTTGGATCCCATCCTGGAAGCTGTTCAGTGGCAGTTTTGTCTTATGTCAAGTCTGCTTATTCAATAAAGGTCTTGTGAGGGAATGTTAATTAAACAGTACACGGTGTAAGCTGTGGTTAAAACATCCTGAATTGGAAAGCATTACAGGGAGGGAATATCAAGTTCTTAGGCTGTATTTAGTATGTCTGTGCACTTCTTACTTCCAGTTTTGTGCTAATCTGATTTTCTTTACTGTCAGCATCTGTCAGATGAGCATTCCTCAGTCAAAGCCACGTGGAAACACATCTTGCTTATTACATAAATAAATTATTCCCTGCCTCCTTTGCCCAACTGGTGGGCACAAAATTTATATTTCAGCTCAAATTGCCTAAAAATAGAGCTACATTTTGCTAATCTTAGCTGGACAGAGTTGCAGCTCTGTTGCAATGGCTGTTTCCCAAGCCGTGGTCGTCAGAGGTGACACAGCCATGAGTTACCCCAGTTAAACATTGATACCTCTCAAGGGCAGGGTGCTATAAATCATTAATGGCTGGCATTAATTGCACCTCTCTGCAGTGATGCTCTCCTCGGGTAAGCCTAAGCTACAGCAGGAGCAGAAGCACTTTCTCATTTCATTAGGTGGTGGTGCTGTCTAATTTAGTAATGAGTCTGAAATTACAGCTGGGTTTTGTCAATGGTTTTGTTGTCTGCAGGTTGGGGTTCTGGTGAAATGATGGGAATTTTCCCAGATTCCCTCACTGGGTGATGATTTCCCAGAGCCACACTCCATTTTCATGGCTGCACCAATGTTTGGTTCTCTCTCTGTGCAGGATGAGGTTAAATTAAGGGGTTTGCCATAATCTGGGGAATTTCCCTTAGATTTCCTCGTTGGGTGATGATTTCCCACAGCCACTCTCCATTTTCATGGTTGCACCAATCTTTAGTTCCTCTCTGTACAGGATGAGGTGGGAGCTTCATCCAAAGTGATGAAACCATTGCGAAAAGCATCTGCAAATTTTTACTGAACCAGATTTTCCCCCCTGTGTTGGAATCAACTGAGGAATGTGCTGCACTCTCATGGATACCATTTGTTTATGGTTTAGTGTTTGTTCATACACTGAAAGTTGGTTTCTATTTTTATTCTGATAAGATTTCTTCTCTATTGCTTCAAGTAATGATGACAACTTGCCCACAAGATCTGTACAACTTCTGCGGTTATTTCAAGTTTGAGTTTTGTTTTGGTTTTGTGGTTTTTGGTTTTTTATGCCTGCAAAGCTGTGCTCTAACCAGCTGTTTATCTCTCATTTGTGCTGGTTCTTTGTGGAACTGAAATCTGCACATTTGTCCTTCTTTTGTCCTGTTTGTTTTGGATCATCTCCCCAATTTGTCAGAAATGAGTTAAGGACTTAGGTATTGTCCTCCAGCTTGTTTTTGTCTCTTTTATTCCAAAAGCTGAGGCTTATTAAGGTTATTTCCATGGCATTATCTGACAGGGGTTGATGTTTGTTTTTTTTTTTCTCTTTGAGTATTTTATTTTATCTGTTCAATATATGTATCACCCTATAGGAAACTTTATGGTTTTTCCTGACTTCATAGTTTTCCTGTGTCTTGATTCCTTGGCACATACTTAAAGCTTTTCTTTCTTTTAAATAGCTAAAAGAAATTAATTTTATCTCTTGTGTAACTGAAGACACAAATCTGTGCTGGGCCCCTTCTCAGTCTGGGAACACAGTGGTCATTTTTAATTCCAGGAACTTCTGATTACCTTGAAGAACTTCCCAGATTCTTTGGAGAGGTCTTTATTAGTGTGTGCAAACTGTGTTTAGTGTCACATGCTCCTCCAGATTTTTTTGCAGGGACTTTAAAGCACTTTAATTGCTGCAAAACAATTATAAAAACCACTGTGGGGGCCCTGGCAGAACTCCCCCTTGGTGAGCAGTGCTGAGCACAGAGCAGGAGCTGCAGAGAGCAGGGAATGGCTCAAAGCGCAGCTCAGCTCAGCAGCAAAGCTCATCTGGACAACTCCAGGAGCTCCTTCGTGTTAACCACAACTCCAGTTTTATTGCAGTTTCCCATTTTTAGTTTCACTCCTTTTCCCCTGAACAAGAACTTCCCAAGGGTTTCATCAAACCACCTTTATACAACCCCAGGACATCCCCCAAAAGAGCTGCAAAGAGATTGAATTTTATTTTATAACGACCGTGCTTGTAAGCTGTTCTTTCATAACAAACTTTTCCTGCTCAATGCCCTGCCCTAAATCATCCTGGTTATAGGATGACTGTAGGGTTTTTTTGATGTTCAACATGTTATCTACTGAGAGAAGAGGGATTGAGATAGCAAATTTCTGTTTTTCCTTGAGCCACCCCAGGACGTCCCCCAAAGGAGCTGCAAGGCTGCACAACACCAAGGGATTTCATTTCATTTTATAACAACCATGCATGTAAACTGTTCTTTCATAACAAACTTCCTTTTCGATGCCCTGCCCTAAATCATCCTGGTTATAGGATGACTGTAGGGTTTTTTTGATGTTCAACATGTTATCTACTGAGAGAAGAGGGACTGTGATAACAAGTTTCTGTTTTTCCTTGAGCCACCCCAGGACGTCCCCCAAAGGAGCTGCAAGGCTGCACATCACCAGGGGATTTCATTTTATTTTATAACAACCATGCATGTAAACTGTTCTTTCATAACAAACTTACTTTTCGATGCCCTGCCCTAAATCATCCTGGTTATAGGATTACTGTAGGTTTTTTTGATGTTCAGCCTGTTGTGATAACAAATTTCTGTTTTTCCTTGATCCAGCTGCTGCCACCATCGGAATTTAGAGGAAAGCTCCGTTCCCATTGCAAACACTGAGGTTTTGCCTGTCCCTCTCCCCTGCAGGGATTGAATTTCTGCCTGGCTGAGGTTCCTGCAGTGGCAGCATGGAGATGAGTCGGGAGAAGCTGTGTGCCAGCAAGGCTGATGGCAGCTCAGACTCTGCCTACCAGTGCTCAGCGTGCCATGGTGACCAGGACTGGGGCAGCACCAGCCGGGGCCGCGCCAAGTCACGCAGTTTGTCAGCTTCACCTGCCCTGGGAAGCACCAAAGAGTTCAGGTGAGGCCCCTGCTCCTTCCCCCTGCTGCTGGAATAAACCAGATTTTAGTACTTGTTAAATATGGCCATGAGGGATTCTAAAATTGCACCTCGGAAAGTTCAAAATGAAGGTGGGATGTTGGCTAAGAGCAGACTCAAATCAAAGTTTCATGGCTTGTCAAAACAGGTGTCTGCAGAGCTCAGAGTCTCCAAAAAATTGTTTAAAACCTGCATGTGAGGCAGCAAAAAGTAACTTTGTGTTTGCATATGAGTGTTTCTCACAGCAGTGAGAAACATCCATTCTTTTTCTGGAGCCAACTTTCTGATCTCATTCTAAAAATGCACCTCGGAAGGTTCAGTATGAAGGTGGGATGTTGGCTAAGAGCAGACTCAAATCAAAGTTTCATGGCTTGTCAAAACAGGTCCAATCTCCAAAAAATAATCAGTCAGCAGTAGAGGCAATTCTTCAGATTCCTACAAAAGCTCAAGCCGGAGCTTTAGTGCTGTGTGGTAAAAACCTGCATGTGAGGCAGCAAAAAGTAACTTTGTGTTTGCAGACAGTTTCAGACCCATTCTTTTTTTTGGAGCCAACTTTCTGATCTCATTCTAAAAATGCACCTTGGAAGGTTCAAATGAAGGTGGGGTGTTGATTAAGAGCAGGCTCAAATCAGAGTTTCATGGCTTGTCAAAACAGGTGTCTGCAGAGCTCAGAGTCTCCAAAAAATTGTTTAAAACCTGCATGTGAGGCAGCAAAAAGTAACTTTGTGTTTGCAGACACTTTCAGAGCAGTGAGAAACACTTATTCTTTTTTTTTTGGAGCCAACTTTCTGGTGTCATTCTAAAAATGCACCTTGGAAAGTTCAAAACAAAGGTGGGGAGTTGAAGGTGGGGTCTTGACTAAGAGCAGGCTCAAATCAAAATTTCATGGCTTGTCAAAACAGGTGTCTGCAGAGCTCACACTCTCCAAAAAATAATCAATCAACCATAGAGAATTCTTCAGACTTTTACAAAAGCTCAAGCCAGAGCTTTAGTGCTGTGTGTTAAAAACCTGTAAAAAGTAACTTTGTGTTTGCAGACACTTTCAGAGCAGTGAGAAACACCCATTTTTTTTTTAGAGCCAACTTTCTGATCTCATTCTAAAAATGCACCTTGGAATGTTCAAAATGAAGGTGGGGAGTTCAAGGTGGGGTGTTGACTAAGAGCAGACTCCAATCAAAGTTTCATGGCTTGTCTGCAGAGCTCACAATCTCCAAAAAATAATCGGTCAACAGTACAGACAGTTCTTCAGATTTTTACAAAAGCTTTCACTCAAGCCAGAACTTTTTCACTCGAGACTTTCACTCAAGCCAGAGCTTCAGTGCTCTGTGTTAAAAACCTGCATGTGAGGCAGCAAAAAGTGACTTTGTGTTTGCAGATGGTGTCAGAGCAGTGAGAAACACCCTTTTTTTTTTTTGAAGCCAACTTTCTGATGTCACTGCAAGGCTCCTGTCATGTGGGCAGGGTGGGTAGAACTTCTGCTCTGCTGATCTTTGGACCTGCTGTAAATATTGAGCAGCGTCAGGGGCAGCGCCATGTCGGGATCTTGTGGGAGGCTCAGCAGGGCTTGTTCACCTTCCTTGTGCTGGGGCTGTCCCTGAAGCATGGGCAGAGCCACGAGGGAGCTGCTCAGCAGATGGAATTCCTGTGCAGAGCTCCTGCTTTGCTGGTAGGAATGTTCTTGGGAGGCAAGAGAACCCACGGGTGAGGCTGAGGGGCACAGGGGGTGGTGAAGGGAGGTGACTGAAACCTTGAAAGGTTAGCAAAGAACTGCTCTGGGTTTGTAGTTCAGTGGGTTTGGTGCTTCTGGAAGTGTCTTCTGAGGGCTGTGCTCTGCTGGAGCTCTGGTCAGTGTGTAAGATTTGATATTCCTGGTGGTTTGCCCTTCTCTACTCAAACCTTTCAATCAGTCTGCATAGAAAGTCTAAATTTTGGTGTATTTTCCAGCTAAACAGCTCCTTTTTCCACCAGCAGTGCTCTGTCTGTTGTGGGTTTCAATCAGGGTAATTGCTTCTGAGATTTTCCTTCATTAGGATGCTCTGCAGTCGTTCTCTGGTGTCTTCACTGCAGAGCTGAGTTGTCTCAAGGCATTTTGCAGGCTGGCAGGAAATGCTGCTCTCAGGTTCCTCTGTGCTGCTCAGCTCCAGGTAGCTGCCCAGCTGCTGGGAACTGATAAATAGATTTTCTATTAAAAAATGTATAATTTCCAGGGCATTGCTGCTCATTCTTAGCAAAGGCAGCCTGGCTGGGAATAACTTGAGTTTCTGTTCACTCTTTATTGAGCATTAATAAAACCATGTGGAATCTCAGGGAGAGTTTACACCCCTTATTAATTAGGGCTTGCAGAGGAAACTTCTGGAATGTTATGAAGGTCAGAGAATTTGGCCAATTACTGGGAGTGGCATCAAATAATGACCTGTGTTGGGAGAGGGCAAAAATTGCATTTATCTGGGAGAAGCTGGAGTGGGGCAAGAAGTGGGAGGTGATGCTGCCAGGGTGTTATTTAACCATGCTAATGCCAAGGGTAATTGTTGACAAGTAGATAAAGACTTATCTTCCCTTTGCCCACATTGATAGACACGTTAATCTCTTGTTTTGTCAGTCTTTGCTCATTTTTCTGTTTTAGTATCAGTGAGGTAAAGTTTATCAAACACTTAGTAATGCTCTTGTCTGACTGGGTCAGTCATGCCTGGATTACAAATGGAAAAGAAATTATTTTGGTTTTGTTATTGGAATTCAGATCTTAGACTGGCATATTTTATTAGGCAAGGAGCTAATAAGATGTTGCTGTTGTTCCTTAATTACATGTTTAACCTGTGATCTGGTTTTGATTTTATTGAATTTCTGAGGGTTTTTTTAGCTCTAGGACTGAGTCATCAGGCTGGCCTGGGCTGCTGTGTAACACACAGTGGAAGGCAGTGCAGTGATGATTGTTGCAAGCAAGATGTGATTGAATTAAGCCCAGGAAATAAATGTTTCCCCTTTTTATAATGGAATAATTCTAATAGCAGTCACATAATGCTTCAACAGTTCCATGGCCTGAGCAAGTTTTGCTCCCAGTTCCAGGAGTTTGGGAGGAAGGTGAGGCAGAAGAGTTCTTTCTCCAGCTAATCTCATCCTAGAGCCAGGAATAACCCTGGGTCCTGGTGGGATTCAGTTCTGAGGATAAATGACACTTCAGAGCTCCTGTGTATTTGAAGACAAATATTTTATTAGAGAAATAAATGGGGGGAAACAGCAATTCTTCTTCAGCCTCTTCAGAATTGCAGCCTGATACTGCAAACACAAATCTCCATGTGCCTAGAGTTTAAGAATTTATTTGATTAATTTATTAATTTAAATGACCAAGACACTGTGACTTAAAAACACCTGGAGGTTTTTGTGGTTGTGTTTGCAGGGGCCTCAGGATGAGGAAGAGATGAGAATCTTGACTCTGTGTTTCAGAAGGCTGATTTATTATTTTATGATACATATTAAAAGAAAATTACATATTAAAATTATACTAAAAGAATAGAAAAAAGGATTTTATCAGAGAGTTTGAAAAGAATAAAAAAGAATTATAAAAAATGATATATTAAAACTATACTAAAATAATAGAAAAAAAGATTTTATCAGAAAGCTTGAAAAGAATAAAAAAGAATTATAAAAAATGATATGTTAAAACTATACTAAAAGAATAGAAAAAAGGATTTTATCAGAAAGTTTGAAAAGGATAAAAAAGAATGGTAATAAAATCTTGTGACTGCTCACAGTTCTGACTCAAGTAGTTGTCATTAGTAACCAAGTAAAAACAATTTTCTAAATCACATTCTAAAGCAGCAAAACTTGGAAAAGCTGAAGCTTCTCAACTTCTCAAGAGAAAAAATCCTAATGAAAAGGTTTTTCATAAAATATGTCTGTGGTAGGTGTTGGAGAGCTCCTTGTCAAGTCACACCCTGGGAAACCCAAAGCCCTCAGAGGGGAGAGCACTCACTGAGCTGTTTTAGCTGTGTTTATACCAGATTCAGCCATTCTGAAATGTGCTTTTAGGTGGGATGTGGTGCTTTGAGAAGCACAGAATAAAAATGTTCTATGCAAAATGTGCTTTTAGGTGAGGTGTGGTGCTTTGAGAAGCACAGAATAAAAATGTTCTATGCAAAATGTGCTTTTAGGTGAGGTGTGGTGCTTTGAGAAGCACAGAATAAAAATGTTCTATGCAAAATGTGCTTTTAGGTGAGGTGTGGTGCTTTGAGAAGCACAGAATAAAAATGTTCCATGCAGGCCCTGGGCAGGTGAGAGCTGCTCTGCACAGTGGCCTGGCTGGGAAGCACACGTGGGTTCAGGGAATGCTCTTTGCCCTGAGCCCTTGGTGCAGCTGCTGCAGAGGAGGATTGGTGCTGGGGCGGGCAGGCAGGGGCAGTTTGTCAGCACATCTCACTGCTTGTCCTTCTGCCCTCAGGAGAACACGTTCCCTGCATGGACCATGCCCAGTGACCACGTTTGGACCAAAGGCCTGCATGCTGCAGAATCCCAAAACCATTATGTGAGTACTCCTCCAGACTGGCACTCTGCTCTGCTGGGGCAGAGAAAACCACTCTGCTTTTCCACTGGTTCCACTTTGGTCACCTCATAATCAGAATTCTCAGAATCTCCAGGTTGGAAGAGACCTTAAAGATCCCAAACCCTCAACTCAGCCCTGGCACGCAGTGCCACATCCAGGGATGGTGACTCCACCACCTCCCTGGTTCCTGGGAATTCCCAGAATTCCCCCAAATTCTCAGAATCCCCAGGTTGGAAGAGACCTTCAAGACCATCAACCCAACCCCTGAACTCAACCCTGGCACCCAGTGCCACATCCAGGCTTTGTTAAACACACCCAGGCATGGGGACTGCAGCACCTCCCTGGGCAGCCATTCCAGAACTTTATCACCTTTCTCTAGAAAACTTTATCACCTTTCTGTAAAAATCTCCTTCCCAATATCCAACCTGAATTTCCCTTGGTGCAGCTCAAGGCTGTGCCCTTTGGTTCTGTCATTTCCTGGAGAAAGAGCCCAGCCCCAGCTGAGCCCAGGCACCTTTCAGGAGCTGTGCAGAGTGACAAGGTCACCCCTGAGTCTCCTTTTCTCCAGGCTGAGCACCCCCAGCTCCCTCAGCACTGTGTTTGTATTTTATGTTTGTATTTTACCTGTATTTAGAGGTTTTCATGTTGCTTGATTGCCATCCTGGGGTCAGTTTTGCCAAGTTGGCACACTCTGCAATCCATAGTTTGGTGTCTAAAAGGGCAACTCCCATATTTCCAGCTCAATAAAAATTCTTTATTGCACCACAAGGGGAGGAAGAGGAGCTGTTCTGTGTGCTGTGGAATCTGAGGGGAGCCTTCTCCCTCCCTTGGTGATGATGTTTAAATTTGTACTTTCAATTTTTCTGTTTGGTCTCTGGTACTTTCAGTTAAAGCAAGTTTGCTTTTAGGCTGTTGATAAATATGGGAATGAGGGCTGGTTTCTGCTTAGTGGGGCAAATAAACATTTTAATTTTGTAGATTGACAAAGTTCAAGTGTTGCTTTCTATACTTAATAAATGGGGTCCTGGCTTGGCCAGGTGAGGAATTTCAGGCTTTAACCAAGGTGGTGCTCCCTGCTTTTGGGTGGCCCTGACACAGAGGTGTCCAAAACCAGGTTGGACATGGCTTGGAGCCACCTGAGATGGTGAAGATGGGACTGGATGGGCTTTAAGGCCCTTCCAACCCAAACCATTCTATTTTTTGCCCCTTAAAAAAAAAAAGTTTTCTTTAATTGCTCTTCCAGTTAACTGTAAGTCATTGCTGTCAATATTTATTTGCCCAAATCTCTGCCTCACTAGACTGTGACCTTCCTGGTGATATCCAAGCCTTTCCTGGGAAATCCAGCCCAGATCCCTCCCTTTGGCAGCTCAGAGCTTCCTCATTCTCCCTGGTGCTGTGAGGAGCCCTGGGTGGGCAGGCCAGCCCAGGTTGTGTTTACCCACCTGACTGGGAATTTGCTCCTCCCAGGGGCTGGCCCAGCACTGGGACATAAAACCAGGGCCAGGATCCTGCCAGGAAAACCTTGGGCTGGGAGCAGGGCTGTCCCAGGCTGCCGAAGGCAAGGATTTGTTTGAAAAGCAAATTGGAAATTACTTCTGCTGCACACGAGGTTTTGTGGGTTTTAAAAACAAGCAAAACCTTGTTGGTGTTTTTTTCCCTCTGCTGTGGGTAATTTTGTTAAACTCTCCTCACTGGAGGGATTATTTTTAACAGAAAATCGTAGTTTTTATGTGCAGATTTAAGTTAGGGAAGGTTTGGTGTCTCTCAATACAACCAGCAGCTCTAGAACTTGCAAATCTGCTTTTTGGTGAGCAGATGAATGGAATGAATGCTCAGTGAAGAAAGGATCAGGGGCTTGTGCACTTCAGAGAAAGGGAAATCAAATCCCTGCTTATTTTTCTTGAAATGGGATTTTCTTTATGAAACCTTGCCTTGAGGATCTGGAGTAAAAGTTTTCCACAGGATTTTTTGTAAAGCCTCACAATTTTTTATTGGAATTGATTGAAATCTTCAGTAGAAGAAAAAAACATTTTTTAAGGGAAAAATGTATTCCTCTGAGGTTGCAGTTATTAATAAGTGATAAAAGCCTCAGCCTTTTATTTTATTTGGAGCTGTTACATTTGCCTGAGCCCTGGAAAGAAACATGAAGATCTTAAAGCAGGTTATGAATAACTTTTCATTCAGTAGAAGTGCATGGAATTGGTGAGTACAGCTGAACCAGGCAGGCTGGCTGTTGTTTGAATGGAGTTGGTGCTAATTCTGGGTTATTCAGTGCTGCAATCCCTATTTCTTGTCAGCATTATTCATATTAAAGCCCTGCATTAAGCTGTAGTTTCTGCTGGGTTTGTGTCTCAAACGTGAGCACTGAAATAAAATGGATTTTAAATTTACATTTAGAGTGTTGGATGGGGAAAAAATGAAGCTGTGACTTTTTCAGATCCTCTAATTGAATATTTCTCCTTTGAGTCCGCACTGAGCCAAGAGGAAGCAGTGGTGTCAGTTCAGGAACTTTTTCTGAGAGCTTTTGTGGTGTTTCTGTTGGCAAAGTTCGTTCACAGGACAGCAGGGACCAGAGTTATTAATTCTGTGTTATCACCTGTGTGTAGTAAAGCACAGAAACATCCCTGAAATGGGAATTACTGCTTTTCATTCAGAAACATCCCTGCAATGGGAATTATTGCATTTCCTTCAGAAACATCCCTGCAATGGGAATTAATGTATTTCATTCAGAAACATTCCTGCAGTGGGAATTAATGTATTTCATTCAGAAATACCACTGCAATGGGAATTATTGCATTTCCCTCAGGAACATGAGTGCAGTGTGAATTGTTGTCTTTCCCTCAGGAACATCCCTGTAGTGGGGGAATTTTTACATTTCATTCAGAAATATCCCTGCAATGTGAATTATTACTTTTCCCTCAGGAAGATCACTGCAATGGGAATTATTGCAGTTCCTTCAGGGACATCCCTGCAATGGGAATTATTGCATTTCATTCAGAGATATCACTGCAGTAGGAATTACTGCATTTCCTTCAGGAACATCCCTGCAATGAGAATTTATTGCTTTTCCCTGAGGAAGATCACTGCAATGGGAATTAATGCATTTCCCTCAGGAACATCACTACAATTGGAATTATTGCAATTCCCTCAGAAACATGAGTACAGTGTGAATTATTGCCTTTCCCTCAGAACCATCACTGCAATTGGAATTATTGCATTTCCCTCAGAACCATTGCTGCAATGTGAATTTATTGCTTTTCCCTCAGGAACATCACTGCAATGGGAATTATTACATTTCCCTCAGGAAACATCACTGCAATGGGAATTATTACATTTCATTCAGAAATATCACTGCAATGGGAATTATTGCTTTTCCCGGCCTGGTGTGTAGGGCTGTGTGTTCCCCATATATTAATAAATAAATTCAGATCCCTGCAATGGGAATTATTGCCTTTCCCTCAGGAACAAGAGTGCAGTGTGAATTATTGTATTTCCCTCAAACATCACTGCAATTGGAATTATTGTATTTCCCTCAGAACCATTGCTGCAATGTGAATTTATTGCTTTTCCCTCAGGAACATCACTGCAATGGGAATTATTACATTTCCCTCAGGAAACATCACTGCAATGGGAATTATTACATTTCATTCAGAAATATCACTGCAATGTGAATTATTGCTTTTCCCGGCCTGGTGTGTAGGGCTGTGTGTTCCCCATACATTAATAAATAAATTCAGATCCCTGCAATGGGAATTATTGCCTTTCCCTCAGGAACAAGAGTGCAGTGTGAATTATTGTATTTCCCTCAAACATCACTGCAATTGGAATTATTGTATTTCCCTCAGAACCATCGCTGCAATGTGAATTTATTGCTTTTCCCTCAGGAACATCACTGCAATGGGAATTATTGCATTTCATTTCGAAATATCACTGCAATGTGAATTATTGCATTTCCCTGCCTGGTGTGTAGGGCTGTGTTCCCCATATATTAATAAATAAATTCAGATCCCTGCAATGGGAATTATTGCCTTTTCCTCAGAAACATCCCTGCAATGAGAATTATTGCCTTTCCCTGAGGAAGATCACTGCAGTGGGAATTATTGTATTTCATTCAGAAACATCCCTGCAGTGGGAATTATTGCAGTTCCCTCAGGGACATTAGTGCAGTGTGAATTATTGCCTTTCCCTCAGAAACATCACTGCAATGGGAATTGCTGTATTTCCCTCAAACATGACTGCAATGGGAATTATTGCCTTTCCCTGCCTGGTGTGTAGGGCTGTGTGTTCCCCATACATTAATAAATAAATTCAGATCCCTGCAATGGGAATTATTGCCTTTCCCTGCCTGGTTCACAGGGCTGTGTTCCCCACCCTGGAGGATGGATTTTGGCCAGGTCAGGAGGGTGTCACACCACCTGTGCTGATGTTTGTGGTGTTTTGTCCCCCAGGCACATTCAGGACCCAGCAAGCCAGCGGTTGACATGGAACAAACCTCCCAAGAGTGTCCTTGTGATTAAGAAGATCCGTGATGCCAGTCTGCTGCAGCCCTTCAAAGAGCTCTGTGTGTACCTCACTGAGGTGAGAAAATTCAAATTACACCTCAGATCTCTCCTGCTGCTGATTCTGTGCAGAGTTTGTGCAGTCAGATCTTCATATCCACTGCCACTGGCTGTACTAAAATTTGTTGTGCAGAATTTAAGATCAGTATGAGGCTTAAAACTAAATTTAATAAATTAATTAAAATTGTTAATTATAAAATTAAATTAATTGAAATTAAGAAGACCCGTGATGCCAGTCTGCTGCAGCCCTTCAAAGAGCTCTGTGTGTACCTCACTGAGGTGAGAAAATAGAAATTGCTGCTGATTCTGTGCAGAATTTGTGCAATCAAATCTTCATCCCCACTGCCACTGATTGTACTAAAATTTGCAGAATTTAAGATCAATATGAGACTAAATTTATTAAATTAATTAAAATTATTAAAGTAAAAATTTCCATTCTGTTTGCAGTTCTGAATTACAGGAATGGTATATAATTTTAAAAAACATTTAATCCTTGAGCAAACACAGCATTATTGCTGTATCTGTAATCTATATTCCAAATCCCAAGCTTTAATTTAAATTTTTATATCAATTTGAACATTTATATATTTATATAAATTTAAGCATTTATTAAATGTTCTGTGCATGCTGCAGAATTCTCATCAGGATCAGGCCACACATTAAAACAGCCAGCAGATACAGAACACTAAATATTATTTATATAAATAAATAATTGAATTGATGGAAATTATGGAGAAAGTCAAGTGTTGGGAGGTCCCTCACAAGTTTATTTCTCTCTCTTCAGGAGAACAACATGATAGTGTATGTAGAAAAAAAAGTATTGGAAGACCCTGCTATAGCTAATGATGAGAATTTTGGACCAGTGAAGAAGAAATTTTGCACCTTCAGAGAAGGTATGGAAATGATTACTTAAAAGGACAGTTGTATTTTTTTTTCTTGATGTTTTCTTAATTGTTGAGTCAAATTTCTAAAACTTTTATATCTTTTGCAGGCAGTTGTTACATCTTAATTGTGCTTTTTATATATATGAGGGAATGTTTGCATGCTGCAAATTGTAATATTTCTTCCTAATTTTTGTTAGGAAATTAAGAATGTGGATACAATTTAATTGAAAACTTTTATTTTGATGTTTCTCCTAGACTATGATGATATCTCCAATCAGATAGACTTTATCATATGCCTGGGAGGAGATGGGACCTTGCTTTATGCTTCTTCACTTTTCCAGGTTGGTTCTAATGGGAAATAAACCCATAAATCTTTTCTTTTGGAAGTATTTAAAAGTGGTTTTTTCCCCCTCTCTCTTTTCCTGAGTTCAGCATTTGTCTTTTGTTCCTCATTCCCTCTTTTTTACCTTGTGAAAATCATTTAAATGTGTTGTTTTTTATGAAGCACAGTTGAAGTTTCATCAATAGTCACAATATTTACAGGCAAATAGTTGAAGTATGGATTGCTTTGACTGAGTAGCTTTAAAACTCTTTTCTTTATTGATAGGGTAGTGTACCTCCAGTTATGGCTTTTCATCTGGGATCCCTTGGATTTCTTACTCCATTTAATTTTGAGAATTTTCAGTCCCAAGTCACTCAGGTTATAGAAGGTAAATTTAAGGGGACAAGGTGTGGTGTTTGTTTGTTACTTTTTCTTAATCAATTCTTTTAGATCAGCCCTTGAGATTTGAAACTTGAGAAATGCACCTTTAATTACCAGAAATGTACCTTAAATTACCAAAAATGTGTTTTAAGTTAACAGAGGTTTGCATTGCATTGATCCATCCAGTGCTGCTCTCTGTACTACTCTGTAAAAAAAAAAGGGCTAAGAAATAACTTTATGGAGTAAATAAATGTAAGGTAATGTAGAATTTATGTTAAATGGCAACTAAACATATAGAAATAAAGTGCAGTGTTTAAATACTGAGAAGTCAGGCAAATAAAATATTTGAGGAAATAAATTCTTCTGAGTTGTATCCAAAGTAGATCCTGCAAAGATGTCCAAAACTCTCACTAGAATGTTCTCTTTTAACACATGTTTCTAATGCTTTAATTTTCTTTAAGCTTAGTTTTTGTCTTACTGGAGATCACATGAGCCCAACAGTTTTCCCATTTTAATCATGTCTATATAAAAATAAAATTTTCTTTTAACATAATAAGAAAAGTGGGAAGGGACTGGCTTAAAATTTGGCTTTGATTTTTGCTCGTTGCTACTAAAAATCAATTTTGAGCTTCAGCCAAGTGCAGCCAATTGTGTTGTGAATGAAACTGGGAGTGTTGAATAGCTGGATGGCATTTGCTAGAGTGGGTTAGTCACTGCTGGGGTGATTTCCTGGGCCAGAATCTCCTTTTTTGAGTGTTTTCCCTGCTTTTCCCTCCAGGCAACGCTGCTCTGGTCCTGCGGAGCAGGCTCAAGGTGAAGGTGGTGAAGGAGCACAGGGACAAAGGCTCAGTGCAGAATGGGATAGAGGAGAATGGAGTCGTGTCTGCAAACCTGGAGAAAGAAGTGGGCAAACAAATTATGCAATATCAGGTCAGAAGAAAAAACAAACAAACAAAAAAGCCCCAAGATATTGTTTGGAATTTGTATTTGTTTCAGTAAAGTTCTCCCCAGCAGTGTGGGGCTGGGCTTTGCTCAATTTCCCAGTTTTTTTGCTGCACGATTTCCTTTGTGCAATCACAAGTGCTCATCTCACACTTTGCTCTAGAAATAATTTCACAGGGTTGTTTAGGCTGGGAAATATCTCCAAGCTTGAGTCCAACCTTCCTTCTATTTGAGAACAGAGCAGTAGTTCTAAATCAGACACACCAGACATAAATGAGAAGAAAAACCCTGCATGTTGTTAGTGACCAGCTGCTGGGGAGTAATCCTTAAAACAGAGATAATTTCACAGAATTGTTTAGGCTGGGAAATATCTCCAGGTTTGAGTCCAGCCTTCCTTCTGTTTTGAAAACAAAGTAGTAGTTCTGAAGTCAGACACATCAGACACTTTTATATTCTCAGAATTCTTCTCATTTTTATAAATGAGAAGAAAAACCCTGCATGTTGTTAGTGACCAGCTCCCGGGGAATAATCCTTAAAACAGAGATAATTTCACAGAATTGTTTAGGCTGAGAAATATCTCCAAGCTTGAGTTCAACCTTCCTTCTATTTGAGAGCATAGTAGTTCTAAAGTCAGACACATCAGATATTTTTATAAATGAGGAGAAAAACTCTGCACATTGTTAGTGACCAACTCCTGGCGTGTAATCCCTAAAATAGAAATAATTTTACAGAATTGTTTGGGTTGCGAAATATCTCCAAGTTTGAGTCCAGCCTTCCTTCTGTGTTGAAAACAAAGTAGTTCTGAAGTCAGACACATCAGACATTTTTGTATTCTCAGAATTCTTCTCATTTTTATAAATGAGAAGAAAAACCCTGCATGTTGTTAGTGACCAACTCCTGGGGAGTAATTCTTAAAACAGAGATAATTTTACAGAATTGTTTAGGCTGGGAAATATCTCCAAGCTTGAGTTCAACCTTCCTTTTATTTTGAAAACAAAGTAGTTCTGAAGTCAGACACATCAGACACTTTTATAAATGAGAAGAAAAACCCTGCATGTTGTTAGTGACCAACTCCTGGGGACTAATTCCTAAACTTCAAAACTTAATTCTTAAAATAAGAATTAAATCTAATTAAATCTTCAAAACTAAATTCTTAAACTTCAGCTGGCACTCGATAGGACAGAAATGTAAAGAGACTTTAAATTGCAGGTGCTAAATAATTGAATTTTTAGGAGATGTGGAAAACCTGTTCAATTTTTAACATTTATTTCCCTGCCAAGGCAGCAGCAGCAGGCTGCAGTAATGTTTGGTGTCGTGGCAGGTCCTCAATGAGGTTGTGGTGGATCGTGGCCCTTCCTCCTACCTGTCCAACGTGGATGTGTTCCTGGATGGGCACCTGATCACCACGGTGCAGGGGGATGGTGAGTGCTGCTCCCAGCTCAGGGCCAGCCTGGCTTTCCTGGGGGGTTTTCTCTGCTGGAAACAGCTCCAGTTCACTGCTGACAGCAAACAGAGTGTGCAAAGAATGGGTGTGTTCCTACAGTGAAGCTTGAGGTGCTGAAAGGTTTTGTTTATGGGCATGTGAGGGCAGGTAGCTCTTTTTTGGGGTGTTATATTTCAGGCTAAAGGTAAGAAATAGCTCAGAGAGATTGGCCTGGATACCTGGGATTGCTGAAGGCAAGCAAACAATCTCAGCTCATGAACAGCAGGAGTTATCTTTAAAGCTCTTAAAGAAAAAAATGAAAGTCACTGTTACACAATTGTGTAACCTGAGTTTGTGCAACTCCTGAAAGCACGTGGCAGGGTCGGGGGGAACTTCTCCCTTTGTGTGTGCTGGGCTGCACTGGGGCTGGGAAATGCAAGGGGAGAGGTTCAGGCTGCAGTGGGGCTGGGAAATGCAAGGGGAGAGGTTCAGGCTGCACTGGGGCTGGGAAATGCAAGGGGAGAGGTTCAGGCTGCAGTGGGGCTGGGAAATGCAAGGGGAGAGGTTCAGGCTGCACTGCGGCTGGGAAATGCAAGGGGAGAGGTTCACTTTGGCTCAGTACTGCTGTCCCTGTCCTGTTGCTGTCCCCAGGGGTGAGGGTGGGATTTATTGGTGTCCCCCAGAGCAGTCCCTGGTTGTTAATGCTGCTGTCCCTGTGCTGTTGCTGTCCCCAGGGGTGACAGTGGGATGTGCTGGTGTCCCCCAGAGCAGTCCCTGGTTGTTAATGCTGCTGTCCCTGTCCTGTTGCTGTCCCCAGGGGTGACAGTGGGATGTGCTGGTGTCCCCCAGAGCAGTCCCTGGTTGTTAATGCTGCTGTCCCTGTGCTGTTGCTGTCCCCAGGGGTGATCGTGTCCACGCCCACCGGCAGCACCGCGTACGCCGCCGCGGCCGGAGCGTCCATGATCCACCCCAACGTCCCGGCCATCATGATCACCCCCATCTGCCCCCACTCCCTGTCCTTCAGGCCCATCGTGGTTCCTGCTGGGGTGGAACTCAAGGTGAGCTTCACCTTCATTTTATTGCTCTTTGTGGGTTAAAAACTGCTGGGGTGGGCACAAGAATGAGGGGAGGGTGGGAGGTGTCCTGTGGGAAGCTTCCTCTCACCGGGGGCTGGATCACACCAAGTCTGGCTCAAGATTGTGCCTTTCTTTAGAAGGATTTGCCCCCTTAACTTGAAGGATTTGCCCCCTTAACTTGAAGGATTTGCCCCTTAGATTGAAGAATTTGCCCCCTCAAATTGAAGAATTTGCCCACTTAAATTGAAGAATTTACACACCTTAGTAAATTTAAGTGGAATAAATTACATTTTTCCGACTGGACTGTAGCTCTGTAACATTCTACAAAATAGGAATTCCTGCATTTGCATTCTGAAAAATGTTCCCTAATCTTGGCCGAAGTGCCTGTAAATGATCAGTGAAGGGAATCAAAAATTCTCCTTTCATGCAGAAATATTGCAGATCTTCAGTATTTACTGGTAGCACTATCTGCAATTCACTATTTAGGTTTTTTAAATATTGTCTTGCAGGAAAAAAAGACACTTAATAGCTGAATATAAGATAGACTTGGTTAATGGGTATTTTGCAAGGAAGAATCCCTTTCTCCTTTTGTCCTGGGGGTGTTGGAGGATTAGCATTGAGAAATAAATGTGTTCTGCACTTTTTGTTCCTGTTTTACAATGTAAATTCAATGTTTATTCATGGCACAGCTCTCAGCCCACACTTTTATATCAGTGGGTGTTACTGGCCAGTGGTAATTAATTCTTTTAATAGGAATGTAATTTAAATAAGAGCCAAACTTCCTAAATTTGATACCTTTGGATTCGTTGTGTATTAAACTGTATTTTTCTGGATTAACTTCATTGTTTTTCTGGAAAGAAAAGCTAAGTCAGCTCCTGAATTAAAGTTACAGGAATTAAAACTGAATTAAAGTTAGAGGAACTGAGCTGGACTGGAAGGGACAGGCTGGAACTGGAAGGTCTGTGTGGGTTATGACCTTGTACTTATAAAAAGTGGATTTACTGCATATAGAAAAACATATTTATAAACAAAAAATAAAGGTTTGGAGCTTGAGTGGTGTTACTGCACTGCTGCCATGGACAGCTGAGGAATTCCAGTGCAAGTTGGAGCTCCAAGGGCTCAGTTCTGCCTCAGAGGGAGGTGGAGGAGGTGTTTGTTCCTTGCTCTGGAGTTTTGGACCATTCCTGTTTTGCAGATCATGCTCTCCCCTGATGCCAGGAACACGGCGTGGGTTTCCTTTGATGGGAGGAAGAGGCAGGAAATCTGCCATGGAGACAGGTCAGACCTTTCTGCTGATTGTATTATCTCTAAGTATAGAAAATCCTGATTCATGCAGCTCCCTCATTCTCCAACATCTGCCAAAAGGGTTTTTGGCAGTGAGGGAGAAGCTTTTATAAACCCTAACACCTCCCAGAGCACAGACTGCGCTAAAAGGATTTCATTTCTAACTTGAGTTCTTTAGATCTGCCCATAAAAGCAAGTGAAATGTTCAGACTGTAAACATTGCATGGGCATATCTTTAGAAAACTCTAAATTTTAATTTCAAGATAAATCTTGGGAATTCTGAAAGATACAAAGCAACAGGAGCTGCCTGTGAGCACAGGTGTGGAATACTCCACATGGGTTAAACTGGGTTAACTGGGAGGGGTTGTGGTCACTTGCTGTGGCCTTGAGTGAGCAGAAGGGTGTGAGGTGCCTCAGTTTTGTGTTCAGGATGTGCTGTGGAGCTGTTAAAGGCAGCTCTGGCAGGGAGATTGGCAGATTGGTTTTTCAGGATGCTCTTTTTCCTCTTGGCCCACACAAGGTGCCATGAAGGAAAATGTGGAGCTGGTGTAACCCTCCATCCTGAGCAGGTTTTATTCCCTCTGGGCTTGGATCATCTATAAAGGAGTTTGGATCATCTGTAAAGGAATTCAGGAGCCCAGTCAAGATTCAAACCCAAGGTTTGACCCTTGGGTACACTCTGGAATCCTTGGCCTTGTTACTTAGAACTTGAAACTGAAAGGTGCCCAGTAAAGATTCAACCACAAGGTTTGGCCCTTGGTCAGACTCTGGAATTTTTGGGTTTATTGCTTAAAACTTGAAACCCAAAGGCCAAGGTGGTGCCCTGGGTTTCCTTTGTCCCTGTGTGGGTGCAGGATGCCATGGAGGGTTCCCAGCCACGTCACACAAAGTGTCCCCAGTTCTCTGCTGGTTGTTCTGAGAGCAGCTGTAGCTCCGATCACTGAGCTGTTGTTTGGCAGTGAATCAGCTCCGTGCTGGGTGGGAACAGGCTGGGGATTGTTCAGATTCTTGCTGTCCCTGCCTGACTTGCCCTGTGCTGTTGCAGTATCAGCATCACTACCTCCTGCTACCCCCTGCCCTCCATCTGCTTCCGGGACCCCGTGAGCGACTGGTTCGAGAGCCTGGCCCAGTGCCTGCACTGGAACGTGCGCAAGAAGCAGAACAACTTCGGTGTGGAGGAGGAGGAGTTCTGAGTGTGCCCAGCCAGCAGGGCTCTGGCGGGGCAGGGTGGCAGAATCCTCCCTTCTGTTGGATTTTGGAGCACTGGGATGTGGCAGAATCCTTCCCTTCTTTTGGATTTTGGGGTAGGGGAATCTGGCAGAATCCTCCCTTCTGTTGGATTTTGGAGCACTGGGATGTGGCAGAATCCTTCCCTTCTTTTGGATTTTGGGGTAGGGGAATCTGGCAGAATCCTTCCCCTCTGATGGATTTTGGAGCACTGGGATGTGGCAGAATTTCTCCCTTCTGTTGGATCTTGGAGCACTGGGATGTGGCAGAATCCCTCCCCTCTGTTGGATCTTGGAGCTGCCCTGTGCTTGTGGTTGATGTCCCTCAGGGGTTGGGACTGGGGAGGGTTTTGCTCCTTCCTGTGCATCAGGAGGGGAGTGGAAGGTTCTGATGGTTCTGAATTTCCTTCCAGTGAGCAGTGGATTATTCCTGACTGCTATCCAAAACCACATCTGCAGATTTGATTGTAACCTCTGACTTACCAGTTCCATGGTAGGCTGAATGTAGCTACACCAGGGAAAAGTGGCAGCAGAAAAGTGGCATTAAAATCTTCCATTTGATAGGTTATAACTCCATTTAACACTGCTAGGAACAGAAAGGCTCTGAGAAGTTTTCTTTTTAAAAATAATAGTTCTTCTTTGTTATCTTGCCCAGAAAATACTTTCTTACTTGCAAGTGTGACACACTGAAGAAACATCCACAAAGGATGTTTTTTATTAATAGATGGAATTAGTAATAAAAAGTATATATTTTTTATATATACATTTCTTTCTCATGTGCCCATTTGAGCAGTGGTTGACCCTGGCTGTCAGCACTGTGGAAATAGCCACAAACAGCAGGGATGAGCATTGATTATTTGTAGCTGAGCTAATTCACAGCTCTGCACTTCCTCTTGGTGGGAATCATCCATGTGTTGGTTTTTGTTATTATTTTTGTTTGATTCCCTGGGATAAATGGTAGCATTAGAGACTATCATGTTAAAAATAATAATAATAATTCTCCAAGTGTACAAGAAGAATCTGGACTTCACTTGCTACTGAATTCACTGTTGTCCTGAAGCAAATATCCTGTTCTGAGATCCTGAATGCCCTCACCTTCCATGGATATCTTCCAACTCTTGGTGCTGAGTAATCCAGGGTGGGATTCTGCATTGCTGGGCTGGAGAAATGGGAGGACACATTCCCAGTGGAGTAGCAACGGTGCCTTCAGCACACTCAAGATTATTCTAAGTCTCACATTTACTTTTTTTAAGATGCTTTCAAACGTTTCTAACTTCTCTCTGTACATATTTTATTGTATGTGCTTTTATGAAAGAACAAAAACAAAACCAAACCCCACCAAAAGAACTGGTTGGGGTGGGGGGAAAGGGTTTGTACTGTACTTCAACTGCAAAATAGCAAACCCAAGGATAATGTTTACATTTATGTTCTCTGTGGTGCAGTCTCTTGATCATTTTATCCAAACTTCAGCATTTTCAAGTCTTGCTGCATCGCTCACTGAAGGAAGGGCCAGGAGCTGTTCAAAGCCAAGGAATGAATTTCCTGCCTGAGGTGGGAGTTCCTTGGGGGTGAGGGAGAATCTCTGCTGAAATTTCTCATGATTGTCTTACGTTGTTTCTGTGGTCCAAAGTGGAAATGGGAAATGGTTTCATTTCCAGCCTCTGCCTGACCTGTTGTCCTCTGGTGGTTTCAATAATGTCTCATCCCTTTGGGAGGCTGAGCTCATGAAATGCAGGTGAGAGCACTTTCCAGAAAAGAGAAACAAACTCTTGGTAATGATTTAAAAACACAACGAACAGCGTTGGTATTAATGAACACTTGGTTTGTACATTTTGTAACATAGAATATTGGTTTGATTTGGTCAAAACCAGCTGGATTTTGGGATATCTTGGAGAATATCCAGAGAGCTTTTGGGATTTCTCTTTCACTTGAATCTGCAGTCATTGTTTTATCACTGTTTTGAAGCTGCTTACGGGTTTCCTGAGTGAGTATTCAGTTATTTGATAACTGGTTACTTTTTGAGCTACAGAAGTGTCAGGCTTTTTTGCTTTGGAACTATTTTATTTAAACATGCAATAATTGGGAGAAGGAGCAGGGTATGGTGTCTAGAGAAACGTGTGGATGAGTGCAGAATGAGCAGTTCTAGGCACACTGGGGAGTGGAAAATCATTTTGCAGAGGTGAAATGATTTATGAGCCTTATCTAGTATTTTTTTAAAGATAAAACTATATTCAGCACTTTTTATTTATGCTTTTTATAATAGTAAAGCTATTCTTGACTAAATTGCCAGACTTTTAATTTTCAGAGTGCACAGGTAATGAAATCTGTAATCAAAGTGTACTGAACTACTTTAGATCTACATTAGGGGTTGGCTTGAAATTTCTTCTTTCAATTTATCACCTGCTGCAATTGCATTGCTGCCTCTGAGGCTGCTGCAGCTTTGCTTGTACAGAATTCTGCTGACAAAAGGCATTTTCTGGGGGTGCTGAGCCCAGGCAGAGCTGCAGCCCTGGCTCAGGGATCCAGTCCTGGCTTCTCCTCCAAAAGCTGCCTTGATTCTCTCTGTTAATCCATCACAAATCTGAGTGTACCAAGTCCCTTTCCAAGGCTTTTAATCTGCAGACTGAGGAGAGTGAGGCTGCAGCAGCCCTGGAGTTCTGCATTTCAACTGCCCCAGGAGCTGAAGCAGAAAAAAGCTGAAATGCACCTCACTTTATTGGCAATAAAACCTCCTTGTGCTAATGTAGCTTCTTCACAATAACTTGGTCAAACTGTGCTAAAAAACAGGGGTTTGCTGATTAAGAGTTTTTAATGAAAGGGTTTCTAAGTCACTGGCACCTACAAATCCTTTCATCTACAAAGGGCCAAAATGGAAGCTGGGAAATTAATTTGTTTTTAAAAGAAAAAAAAATTATCCTCTGGTAGAAATGGAAGAAGTTGTTACCAACTGTAGTAGGGAATAAAGCAGTGTACTGAATTTTTAAAAGCTAAAAAAAAATCCTGTTACATATTGTTAACATATTGACAACTTGGTTTTAAATATTGTTGAGAAACAAAATATTTTTCAATCCTTTCAATAAAACCTTTTTGTAAAGTTGGATTGGTCGATTTGCCCTTTGATTGGGGAGAATAGAAAATAGTGAATTCCCAATCAGTTGCTTGGAATTGTGTGGGGGGTTTGACATTTCTCAGGGGACAGTGGGATCTCTTTGTGGGAATACACCCAGGGCTTTTTGGAATGTTTGATATCAGGTTTTCCTCAAAAGTCTCAAAATAATTGCTGGATTTGCTGTGCAGCTTGAAACAAATCTTGTGTACAACCAGCTGGGCTGCATTAAATTCTGTTTTAAAGGGCCAATAATAGAAATATGAGGAAAGAAATAGTTAAGGGTGAAATAGATAAGGGTCAGATAAGCTGGTCAAACAATCTGCTAATTGATATCCAGGAAGTTTAGGGTTAAAAATGGGGTTGAAATGCCTGTGGCACACTTGTACTTGCAAACGACGTTTAAATTCCTCAGGTACATTTCATCACTTCTGATGAAGTTCTGGGCATTTCTCCCATGGAATTGAGATTAATGAGTTTTTTGATTTCATAATTAATGTGTAACTCATTCCAGCAGCTGAGAGGGATGTGAGGAGCTGCCTTCAAATGGAGTTTTTGTTTGACAAGGAGATTCCTTGTGCAGGTAAAGGAGCTGGTTTGAAGTTTTTGTTTTACCAGGAACCTTGGAAAGGGTTTCCTGCTGGGCTTGGCTGAGGGAAGGACTGCAAAGGTTTTGTTATGTTTAAATGTTTAATTCTTCCAGCACCAATCCCTGCTGCCACTGCCACTTGTGGGGTGAAGTCAGAGGCAGCTGCTGCTCTGTCACACATTAACCTCTAAATGCCTCCCTGGGGCTGCAGGTAAAGGAGATTTGATTCAAGTTTAGGAGAGCAAGATGAGAAAAATACATATTTGTAATAGAGGTGGTGATTTAGATGGTCAGGATGAGGAGAAAAAATTACAGCAATTTTATAGAAACCTTGTAAACCTCCCTAATAAGCTGTGATAAAATTTTAATTTTAATTACTTTTTGCAGTGTCTGAGGAGAAGTGTAGTGCCAATGTCCACAGCACCCAGGAATTCCAGTCCCAACCTCTTCCCTATTGAGTTTTGGAAGGGATTTCCCATTGAATTGGTGCTGTTCCATGGGAAATAATTATCCAAACACAAACTGTGCTTATGCTTTATTACAAAATAGCCAGTAGTTAAAGGTTCCAGTCAATAAAATACCAAACTTTTAAATTACAATATTAAAGGCTTAATTGTAACAGTCCCCCTGGTGTGAAATGGCACCTTGGTTACACTGAGGGAGGGCTGAGGTTACAGGGAGCATTTTCCATGTGTAGCTGGGGTTAACAAAAAATAATGGAAATATTCTGAAGCCAGAGGAGGAAAAGAAGCCTTAGAGAGGGGACACCACTGTCACCAAACCATTAGGGCTGAGCTGCTCTGCAGCAGATCCAAGCTGGGCAGCACAATCCCCTTCTGAATTCAGGTACAGAGGGTGGGTGTGCAAATTTCCTTCGTGATGTTTGTGTCTGCCCAGGCAAAAAGCACTGAAAGGAGCAGCTCACATGCAGGTGTGACCCCCTGTGTGTGACCCCCCTGCAGGTGTGACCCCCTGTGCTTCCAGAGCAGCAGGAAAAGCAGTGAAAGGTGCTTGGTCCCAGCTGGGAATTTCCCAAACAGGTTTTGCTTTAAGCTCTGTCCCACCTGCATTGCTCCAAGAGATGAGTGACACCTTCCTGTCCCTGCTTCATCCTGGCACAGGGACATTGGTGGCCACCCTGAGGGCAGGGCAGGAGCTCCTGGGTGGCTTCACTCTGTGGGAGCTGCACAGGGAGGGCTCAGGAGTCGATCCTTCCATAGGAGGAAAACACTGTGGGAAGAGAGAGGGAGCTCAGTCAGCAGCACTGCAGGGCTCAGAGACCCTGGGGACAGGAGCTTTGGGCTGTGCCACATCAGTGGCCCTTTACTGTGTGTGACAGAAATTTGCAAGCAGAGATTTGCCCACACAGGTGGGATTTTTTTGGACAGCAGCAGTTCTTGCTCAGGTTGGCATCAGCTTTGCCAGGGAAAAGCCAAATCTGTCCCACCCAACTTCTGAGCTTTGGCAGCCTGGTCACTCTGGGGCTGCAGAGCTGCTTGATTTGGGATCTGTTAAGGATTTCTCTGTGACTGGGACAGAACAGGCTCCACCTCCCCAGGGCATTTTTGGGTACTCACTTCTCTCCCTCAGCCCCTGCCCGAAGCTGCGGTAGACGTGAAGCAGAGCCCAGAGCAGAACAGATTTGATTGTGACAGAAATGCAGGAGCCAGTGATGAAAGCAGCTTCCAGGGTGTAAGAATTGCCTTTGCCCCACTCCCTGATCACCTGCAGGAAAAAGGAGACACCAAACCATCACCACAAAGCCTTGGAGCTACAACCTGCAACTGCATTTCTGCGAGGAGTCACCAGGTAGGAATTGGGGGAAAAGACAAAAGAAAAACCCAACAGGTGACTTTGGAACCAGCTGAGTTTTGTGATTTCATGGTGTACAGACAGTGTGGAGTCCTGCTGGGCTGTGCCAGCTCAAACAGCCTGGAATAATGGGGAGCTGCATGTGACAAATGAGGCTGTGGGGGGCTGATGATCCCTGGGTGTTTGGGTGGGAAGGATTTGCAGCACTGGCACTCTCAGCATTCCAGCCCTGCCCAGCCTGGCTGCCCCTGGCTCTCCTCTCTCACATCTGGTGGGAGGTGCTCATTGATAAAAGTTTTATCAGTGTGACAGAGCCAAAAACCTGCCCCAAACTGGACTTTGTTGGGCTTGCACTGCCTTGTTTTGGCTACAGCAGGATCCACAGCTGTGGGTGCTGCCTAAGAAATTCTTTAAAATACAACTGAGCCCTGGTCAAATGCTCTGGCACCACCTGAGGCTTGTGTGAAGGAGGGGAGGTATTTCTGAGGAGTTCTGTATCTTGAACAAGAATTTGTTTCATCTTTCCCTCATCATTCTTTGCAGGGACTCCCAGAGCCTCCCTCTGATCAGTTCAGGAGCAACCTGACTTTGTCCATGTGCTGCAAAGCTGATCCTGGCCAGGCAGGATGGGCTCTGCTCTCCTGAAATCCAGCAGGAGCTGCAGGAAGGGCAAAGCAACACCCTGGCCCTGAGGAGGATGAGGGTGAGACCCCCCCAGCCCTGCTGCCCTTACCGTGTAGAGCAGGTAGATGAGATAAACCACCTCAGGCACATTCTGGATCAGGAACACCCACACCAGGGGTTTCAGCTCTTTTAAAATCTGCAAAATAAGGTGAGATACAGCTTTTTTAAGGTGCTATTTATTCTAAAAAAGCTACATATAATTGATTTTTCATTGCATTCCAAGTGCTGGCTAAGCTGAGTTCTGAATTTTAGCTTTGCTCTCCAATTCCCTTCTCCCTCTGAGTTTTTTAGCAGGAAATTCAGGCTCTGTTTTCCCTGCCCTTTCTCTCTGGGCACACTCAGATTTCCTCTAGCAGCTGGATGTTTTCACAGGTAACAGACTGAAAGCTCCCTGAGGCTTTTTCTCCACTTTTCTTTTTGCCACACAGAAGTGCAGTCACTGAGGAGGGAAATGTGGGAGAAGCAAGAGGATTGAAGTGCCAGGAGAATTTCATTTCACAATTCCCCCAGGGGCTTGGGAAGGAAGAAAGGGACTGCAGCAGCCCTGGGCTGGGAGGGCAGGTCTGAGCAAAGGAAGGAAAAGCAGCTGAGCCTCTGGGGGTGGGAGCAGTGACTGTGCCAGTGTCAGGATTGGGTTTGATGCATCTGATCCCCCCAGGTTCCCCCCAAACCCAAAAGTGATGTGTTTTAAAAGCACAATTTTAGCAAGAAAGCCATTAAAACACATAGGGAGCTGTATTTCAGCTGTCAGGAATTTGTGTGAATGATAAAGCAAACAGCCCAGGAGCCTAAACCAACATCCACCCCCAAAAACCCCTCAACTCCTTCCTGGTAATAAAAACCTCACTTATCTGATGTACTTTGGCCCTCATTCTGCAATCACTCTTGGAAGAGAAGCTCAAGATTTCAGAGGAGGTTCAAAATGCCATTTCAAGTTCACCAATCTTTAGGTTAACCTGGAAACTGTCCCTGAGCTTTGAAGGAGATGCCCCAACAAAGGACCCCTCATATTTTTGGTGTGCGTTCCTAAGGATTTAAGGCCTGGAGAACTCCCAGTTCACCCAGCCTTGGCAGAGAGGCAGAAATACTGAAGCCAGTGTGATCCTCCAGATTTCACTGAAGTGATCAAGGACTGAGACTAAAAACATCCCTCAGAATGGCCCAATGATGAGGTGACTGTTTCACTCCCTGTGCTCAGCTGGGGATTTAGACAAAACCTGGCTTCAATACTGCTGCTGCTCTGCTTCTCTCCATGCTGGCTCCCTTCCCTGGGCAGTGCCAGGGGCTGTGTGTCCCTGGTGTCCCCTGCAGGTGCCACTCACTGCAGTGATGCCCACGGTGACCTTGAGGCAGCCCCAGACCACGCCCGTGGCTGAGATGATGTTGTGCAGCAGGGTGACCTCGTGCAGGTTGATCAGGAGGATGCACAGGCACAGCTGGGGGAGGAAACATTGCATGGAATCATTCTTGGGAAAAAAAATATCTGCCACAAAATCCCCTGGGTCTGAAAGCTGAATTATTCCTCAGGCAAGGACAGAGGTCATTCCCTGTATGATAGAGCAAAGTAAAGCTGCAGGAAATAAGGATGAGGGGTGCTTACAGAGGTAACAGCTCTTGGGCTCACTTCCCCCAGCTGTAATTTCATTTTCTGTCTCACTGCCCTGCTGGTCAAGTTCCCCTCTCCCACTCCAGAATCATTTCCTCAATGCAGGAGCCTGGAGGCTGAGATGGGCAGGAACAGCCTTGCTCACTTCAGGGGTGTTGGAGCTCCTGGATGCAATTGTTTAATGGATAAACCTCCCCAAAATCAGCTCCTTTTGTGCAGGACAATGATGAAATACATTTTGATTTATTTTCATGGATTTTAGCTAAGCTATGATAATAATGGTAGTAGCTCTATGTGTTTAAGTTAATATAATGTAGCCATGATATTTTCTGAAAAATCCTTTCCTTAAGATTTTTCCTCCTGAGAAGCTGAAAGCCCTCAAGAACAAAATGTAAACAATAATTATCTGCTGCTGTGGAATGCAACAAGTAAATCTTTGATTAGCCTATGTTAATTATTTCTAATTAATGGCCAATCAGAGTCAGCTGAGAGACATTGTCTGAGCCACAGAACTTTATAATTCTTTCTTATTTTATTCTTAGGGAGCCTTCTGATGAAATCCTTTCTTCTATTCTTTTAGTGTAGTTTTAATATAATATTTATCATAAAATAATAAATCAGCCTTCTGAAACATGGGGTCAGATCCTCATCTCCTCCCTCATCCTCTGTGAACACCACCACAATGTAATAAAGGTAAGAGAGAGGGTTGATTTTGGAAAGGACTAATTCAGCTCAGCCAGCCCAAGATATCATCAGGAAGAAGGAAAAAAGGGAATTTCTGTACCTGTGCCTGCAGATCAAAGGTGAGCATGGAGAAGCAGAGGTTGAGCATGAAGTACTGGGCCTGGAGGCTCTCCAGGGCTCCCCCCACCCTGAATGCCATCATGGACTGGCTCTGCATCAGGACCAGGGCACAGATGACATCGAAGGATCCCACCAGCAGGATCAGCACAAAACGGGCCTGGGGGAGGAAACACCAGGGGCTGACACCTGGAACCCAGCTGGGAACACACAGGAGCAGCAAAACCTTCACAGAGACTCCTCTGAGCTTCCTGCTGGAACAAAACCTTCACAGAGACTCCTCTGAGTTCCCTTCCCCACTGGGGACAGGGGTTGTTCTCAATGCTGGACTCGCAGAATTCCAACAAACACAGGTTTGTGTCTCTTTGTATCCACCCTGCTGGAATTAACGCTCAATTTAGGACTGGATTTGATGCATCTGATCAGCACCAGGTTCCTCCCCAAACCCCAAACTGATGTGTTTTAAAAGCACAGTTTTAACAAGAAAATTCCTGCTTTAAGGATGGCTCAAATGGCAAAACATCCTTCAGGGTCACTGTCACATTCATGTTTTCTGGGAAAATCCCTTTACCCAGGGTTTTTCTCCTGAGAAGCTTCAGAGAAAAAGGAAAACAAATTCTTATCTCATTTGCTTCTCCTGTGTGTGCTCCCTTGGAATGTGTTTGGGGATTATTTACCCACAGGTGATTGTTTTATTGGGCTCTGCTGGGAGTTGTTTTCACTCTTTGGCTCAGTCAGGGTCAAGCTGTGTCTGGACTCCAGAGTCAGGAGTTTTCATTATTATCTTTTTATCATTCAGTAAGTATCCTTTCTGTATTCTTAGTATAGTTTAATATATTATAGTATCATAAAATAATAAATGAGCCCTCTGAGAACATGGAGTCAGGTTCATCACTCCTCCCTGCCTCGTAAACACAATAGGTTACATTGATAGAAAATATTGATAATAGAAATGATTCTGGCTCAGGAAGCAGAGTTACAGTAATCCAAGTTACAGTTAGAGCAGTAAAAAAACCCCAAAATTACTTTTCACATTTACAGCAGGCTTTCCTTTGAAGTTCTTGTTTAATATTTAAACTGATGACTTGGCTGTGCATCTTAAAAGGAACCTGAATTTCTTTGATATATTTTCCTTATTGGCCTGACCAACCCAGCCTGCTGCAGGTAAAGTGAGTTTAACTGGATGAGAAATAAACTGAATTATAAAGAAACAGAATTATAAATAAACTGAATTGGCAAAGATGCTTTGCTCCCTCTCCCTTGTTGGCTGCCACTCCTGAACAGTCATTTTTGGATGACTTCACAGCTTTTGGAGAAATATGTGATCAAAAGAAAGCACTTCCTGGAAGCACAGCAAGTGGGAATTTACTACAAACCTTAGGAAGGGCTAGAAATCAATCCTTGAATGAATTTTACTGCTATGAAATGCAAACAAGATAACCTGGAGTGGCATCACTTTCCTTGCAGGCTCCCAGAAATGTCATAAATCACATTTAAGAGCACTGGGTAATGCCTAGCCTAGGTTACATTTATTTATTCCAGCCAGACATTCCACAGTGATAAAGCTGAGGCAGGGTATGTGAAGTGAAGGATAAATTCTACAGAAATTTTGTGTAATTCTTTGATATTTCTGTTATTTTTGGGTTCTGCCATAAGGAAACTCAGAGACCAGCTCAGAGAAGATTTGCAGTTGTGGCTGTGCACGTTTTGTTGTGCAGTAGGGATAACTCAGCCTGATTCTGTTATCAGTAACAAAAATACATGAAGACATAAGAAATGCTAAAATACAAAAAACAAATAAAAAAACCCACCTAATTTTGTATTTAAAATACAAAAATTTAAATACAAAAAAAACCCAAATAAATTCAAATATATAATATATATATATATATCGATTAGATCTATCTATATATTTCTATCAATATATATTTCTATTATATACAATATATAATATTTCTATTATATATGAGATATAATAGCTAGAAATAATAAATAAATAATATACAATAAAGACAATCCTATAAATATTATATAAAATAATAGATCATATATATAATAAAACAAATATACTAATAATTTAATAAATATATAAAAATCTAATAATAAAAAAATATATAAAAATATCACATATCTTACATGAATATCATATCTTTATCATCATATATGAATATAATACATATATATGATAAATATCATAATTATAATATAGAAAACAGTATATATATAGTATACTATATATACTATTATATATAGTATAAATGATAGTACATGCAATAAAATAATAATATAACAGTATATGTAATAAAAATATATAGTCATGTGTATTAAAATATATAATAAATTTTTAAAAGAATACTTAAAATATATAATAATTGATTTTTAAGAGATTTTAATTTATATATAATATTTGATTTTTACATATAAATAAATAAAAACAAAAGTACACATATACATATATATATACATATATATATACATATACATATATATATACACATATACATATATATACACATATACATCTACATATATATAGATAATTTTTTTTTTTTTTTTAATTATCTGTGTTAGCACAGACATGCTGCCTTCCCCACGCTGCAGTTTCAGCCCCAGGCAGTGGGGGAAGGCAGAGCAGATTTAGGAGCAGGCACTGACCAGGAGCTGAGCTTTCTGGCCTGCAGGGAGCAGCGTGAAGTTGATGATGGAGCGCAGCATCAGCAGCAGGATGGAGAGCACGAACACCACGAGCTCCTGGCGGTTCTCCTGCAGGATGCCCCTGCTCACATAGTACACACAGAACACTGCAGAGAGAGGGAACGGCAGTGCCAGCTCAAACAGGGGCAAAATCCCAGTTCTGCACCCACAGCGAGGGCTCAGAGGGGCCCCGAGGCTCCCCGGCCTTGGTTCTTACCAAGGAGCTTCAGTCAGGTAAGTAAAACACTCCCTGCTGTGTTCAGCACACAGGAAAATAAATAATTACTTATTATTAGTTACTGCTTATTATTATTATTATCATTAACTTTATATTAATTAATTTTATTTATTAAATTTAAATTCAACTTAATTTATTATACATGAAATATACGTGTCTATATAAATATATATACATATATAAATATGTATATATATTTATAGACATATATTTCATGTATAATAAATACATGTGTCTATATAAATATATATACAATATAATATATACACAATATATATTGTATATATATTTATACAATATGTATATAGTGTATATATATATTTATATACAATATATACGTACATGTATATAAAAATATTTATAAATAAATAAATATCATAAACACACAAGATAAAATTAAATCAATTAAATAAAAGGAATATTAAATTTATTTAATTTTATTTTATGTATTTAATTTTAATTAATTTAATTTTAATTTTATCTCATTTTAATTATTGATTTTTAAATTGTTTGTGAAGTACCACCATGAAAATGGCAGTGTATTATCCAAACTGTCATTATAACTATAGTAATAACAACAACAATAATAATGATAATGATGTTGTTGTAATTAAGCAGCAACTCAAGTTTCTTATATAAGAGATACTGGATGTTCAGCTATTGCAGGAAAACTCACCAGCTGGGTCATTTTATGAATACCACACTGAACATTATGTCTAGCTGTTCATTTGAATTGAATGAAACACTATTATTCTCATTATTATTTTCAATATTATTTTCATTTTCATTATAATTTTCATTATTTTAATTTTCACTATTATTATTATTATTATTTTCATTATTATTTTCATTATTGTAATTTTCATTATTATTTTCATTATTATTTTCATTATTTCCTCCACCCAAACTGGGTTTCTTACCAGCTCCAACCAGCTGAATGAAGGAAATGGTGAAATCCTCCTCAGCCTGGCGCACCAGGGTCTCGATGGTCAGCCCTATGACACTCAGCAGGGACAAAATAGTGACACAGAAGTAGATCTTCACAGGGAATGAGAGCTCTGAGCATGGTTTTATCTGTAAAGGGAGAACATTCTTTAACACATCACGCAGAATAAATTCATTGTTGTTCCTAAAAATCACATTGAGGCAAGAGGGGTAAATGAGTGCAGGGTTTCCTTTGGGAAGAGAAACTCCACTATTGAACTGAAACTCCCAAACTGCTGAGGAAGGGGGAAGTGTAACTTTATTTCAAAAATAATCTCAGCCTAGATAGTCCTGGGTATAAACCAGGACTATCTAGGCTGAGATTAATTATGAAATAAAGTTATACCCACAGCCTGTCTTTGTGCCTCACAGGCCATGGTGTTATAACCCACGGCATGGACACTGCCCACATACACACCTGTCAGAAATGTCATTTTCCCACACTTTCACTTTCAGAAAACTGTAAATAGAGGGTCAGTGTTCCCAGGAAGGCAAAGTCCTTCTTTTATTAAAATATTTCAGGGGGAGCAAATCCTGGCAGGGATTTAACACTCGGTTTGTTCAGCTGGAGGAGACTGAGGGGACCTGAGGGGCTGCAGGGACAGCTCTGATCCCTGCTGTGGGACAGGGACACCCCAGGGAACCCCTGAGCTGGGCATGGGGGGTTCAGGTTGGATTTTGGGAAAGGTTCATCCCCCAGAGGGTGCTGGCACTGCCCAGGAATGAGCACAGAGGCTGCCAGAGCTGCAGGAGCTGTCAGGGGTGCCCAGGGTGGGATTTTGGGGTGACTGAGCAGCGCCAGGAGCTGATCAATGATCCTGAGGTTCCCTTCCAGCTCAGGACACTCCATAGCGCTGTCAGCAGACCGAACATCGGCGAGCGGACCTCCCTGCTCCACCGGAATTCGCAAGCGGATTTAAGCCGTGTTTTTCCACCCCCCGGGGCAAAAAAGCGCGAAGGACAGCGGCAAGCCGCCCGCAGCAGCGGCGATGTACTCACGGGGCCGCAGGGCGTGGGGATGAGCTGCCGGTGCCGCGGGGTGAGGTTGGGCACGCTCGGCCCCGCCGCAGCCGCGGCGCCGCTGTGGGAGAGAGAGCGATGCCGTCAGGGGCCGTACCACCCCCACCGCGGGGGGGAACGGCCCGCGACCCCCCATCCCCAGCACGGGCGCCTCCGGGGGAGCGCGGGGAGGCGCCCCCGCGCCGCGCGTAGTGCGGCCCGGCCCGGCCCGCCCGTACCTGCCGTCCATGGCGGCGGCCGCGGGCCCTACATGGCTGCGGAGGGGTCCCGGCGGCGCTTCCGGGGCCGGCCCGCCCCGCGTCACTTCCCCGGCACGGGCGGGAAGCGCTGCCGGGCTCCTCCCGGGCGGCGGGGCCGCCGCGCTCCCGCCCCTCCGCCCCGGGGGTCCCCTCGGCGCTGGGCAGCCCGCCCGGCTCGATGGAGGGGCGGCCCGCGGCGAGGCGCTGTGCGCGGCTGTACCCGGCAGCGAGTGCCCCGTAACCCCCGCGGCTCGGCTCGGTCTCCTCGTGCTTTGGGTAAAATGGCCTCCCCGCCGCCGCGGGGACAAAGGGGCGAGCCCGGGGCCCGGCGGTGCGCGGCCGGACCGGCTCTGCAGCGCGGGGCTGCGGGCACGGCACGGGATGGGCGGCCGCTGCCCGGTGCTGCCGGAGCTTGGTGCTGCCCAGCCCGGTTCTGTCGCTGCTCGGTGCTACCGGAGTCCGATGCTGCCAGAGCTTGGTGCTACCGTTGTTCGGTGCTGCCCAGCCCGGTGCTGCCGGAGCCGTGGGAGCGCCGGGGCTGCGGCAGCAGCGAGCGGGGAGCGCAGGTGCCGGCCGGGATGCGCTGAGGGCTCCGGGGATGGAGGGAGGGATGGGAGCGGCGGAGGAGGATCCGAGCTGGGCCCGGCAGGGGGATGGCAGTGCTGGCAGCCCCCGGGCCCGAAGGATGGCTCGGAAGGGTCTCGGTGCTCCCGGGAGGGCTCCGAAGCCGCTGCGGTGTGAGGGATGCTCCGGGAGCTGCGGGCACCGGGAATGGGAACGGGGATGAGAATGGGGATGGAGAGAGGTTGGGATGCTCCAGGAGCTGCGGGCAGCGGGGATGAGAATGATAATGGGGATGGAGCGCGGTCGGGAATGCGCAGGGAGGGCTCTGGCAGTGGGTGAGCAGAATCACAGCTGGGATGGCACAAAGCGCTGAGCTGTTTCAGCCTTTCAGCCTCTTCTGTTCTATTTGCAGTGTTTGTAACATCTTGGATGCTCTCTTGCCATTAGTGAGCGGTGTTAATGAGCGAGGCTTGCTCAGGGTGCTGGATTTTGTGCTTCTGGTGCAATGGGAGCAGTGTTTGAGTGACCTTTAGCATAACAGATGGAGGGTCATGGACACAAACCTTTGGTTTTACACTGTCCCATCAGCCTCAGCTTCTCCAGCCCTTGCAACACACTTAGCTTTAGTTTCTATTTGTGAAAAGCCGGCTTTCCAAAGTTCTCCGTGGATATTTTTTCCACCATAATTGCTACTAGGAGCGTAGTTAAGGGTTGGAGAAGATACAAGGATGGTGAGAGGCTCACACTGCCGGCTCTTTGTGAGTAATCCAAGAGAAACAAGTGCCAAGCACTGCCACGTTTTCATCTGTTGGTAAACATCAGCTGCTGGTTGGCCTTGAGGGAGGAAGACTGAATTAGTTCCAGATGGAGAACTCTTTCAGCCCATTTAGACTTTCCAGTTGATTAAAACCAGCAGGTCAGTAATTTAGGGGGGTAATTTTGTTGTTGTTTGCTGTTCTGCTCCGTGCCGTGTGTGGGATCAGTGATATCAAAGCTGATATCAAATCTGATATCGCAGCGCTGCTGAGGGTGCAGCTTTGGTTGTGCTTAATTGGCCGTGGTTTTAATTAACTTGAATAAACAGAAAAAAACCTGTGATAATTAACTATTTTGAATGTAGAGGGGTATTTTTTTAATGAAAAATAATGGAAAAGGAGGAGGAGTCAAGAATCCATTTTTGTGAGCAAATTCTCTTGGAGAACTTGTCTCTTTTTTCAGAGTTTTGTGTTAAACTGGGTCAGCACAAGTTTGTGGTTTAATGTGATCATTTCAGAGGGTCCCATTCCTCAGTGTGCTGCTGGCATGAATTCCTGGAAAAATGGGAAGAGATAAGGGCAAGGACATGGGAATCTTCAGTGCATGGCTGTAGCAACCAGAGAATGTGAGGAATGGAAAATTTCATATTTCAAGCAGCTGCTGTGTAGGATACTGAGACTGACACCAGATATTGAACTCCTCAGTACCTCTTTGTGATTTATTTGAGATGCCACATTAAACATTAAAAATAAAATAAATTAATAATTTATATTTAATAATTAATAAATAACATTAAAAACTTAAAATCTTAAAGAAGATTGAACTGTTTGCAAGATCAGGGCAGGTGCAGTAGCTTTGTTAGAACTCTTGCATTTCTCTTTCTTTCTCAGGGTGGTTTTGTTGTGTTCTCTGCTCTGCTACTGTAACTTGCCACGCTTTGTGTAATTTGTAAAAGGAAAATGCTCTGCTTGCACATCATTTAATGCCTTTTGCTGCCAAATCTGTTAAAAAGGCATTAAGAATGAGTTGCAAGTGCTAATATTGGATTGGAAGGTGTGGTAAAATGAGGAATATTCCCATGTAATTAAATAGATAACCACTCTGGAAAGCTCTTGGACATATTTCCCTACTTTTTTGGGGATACATTTACCAGGGTAGCTCTGGGATTACTGGGGTTACAGCCCTTGATTATTGTTCTCTTTGCTCAGGTTGATTACAGGTTAATTAGTCTGAAGGGCAGAGGCTCCTGCCTGGATTTGCTGGGTTGGGAAGATTTTCCTGGGGAGTGTTTAAAGGCAGACTGAGATCAAAGACACTGTGGAATCTGGAAGAGGAGTTAGTTATAATTGGAAAGGCTGTGTTGAGGTGCTCCAGAGGGAAAAGGACATAAAACCACCAAGTCTGGTGGGTGGGTGGGTGTTATTTTAGAATAAAAACCTCCCTAAGATTAGTTCTTGTTGCTTGATCTTGGCATGAAGACATCAGGAGCTGAAAATCCAGCCTGAGGGATTACAGAACTCTCTTTATCTTCCATAAGTGCAGGTGAAATGTGCTGTATTTGCTGCATTAGGAATATAAAACATCACACTTTTTTTTTCCCCCTTTAGGCAGAAAACATGGAGCAGCCCACATGAAGAATCCTTTGGAGTTTCTGTTCCTCCAGGATGTTCTTTGAAGGACCAAACCCAGTTTTGCAGGCCCCTGGGAGATGAAGCATTGACCACATGACATTTTTATTTCAACGAGTGCTTTCTCAGCCTTGCTTGTGAAGGACAAAGAGTATTTTGGAAATATTTTGGAAACATTTATTTCTCCACCTCGCCATGACGAGCGCCCTGACCCCGGAGGCCCCGAGCCCTCCCCAGCTGGAGGAGAAGCCAAAAGGAAAATCCCTGTTCCAGCTGGGCTCCCTCTTTGCTAACAGGAGTGAGAAATTTGTGATTGCTCGCAGTGACAGCCTGCCAGAGGAGAATGTGCTGAAAATCACAATCACAGAGACCACGGTCATCGAGTCCGACCTGGGCATCTGGAGCTCCCACGCCCTCATCTACCTCACTCTGTGGTTTTTCTTCAGCTTCTGCACTCTGTTCCTGAACAAATACATCCTGTCCTTGCTGGAGGGAGAGCCCAGCATGCTTGGTACCCTGCTCTTGCTGAATTCCAGGGGGAAATTGGTTTATTTAATGGGATGGGAGCCCCCAAAAAACTCCCAGAGTGTTTGGATAATGGTGGCAGGAGCAGGGAGGGGTTTTTGGGGTGTCTGTGCAGGGATGAGTTGGGCTGGGTGATCCCTTCCAGCTCAGGATGTTCCATCATCCTGTGATTGATCATTCCAGATAAAGCTGAGGGAGAGAATGGTTCAATTGAAATAAATGTTTGGAAGGTGTGGGGAGGGATCTTGAGGTTGGGAACTTGGGATTTTGGCCTTTAGATTTCCATCATCCTATGACTGATCATCCCAGATAAAGCTGAGGGGGAGAGTGGTTCAATTGAAATAAAAAATGTTTGGTTTGGAAGGTGTGGGGAGGGATTTGGGGCTGGGAACTTGGGATTTTGGCCTTTAGATTTCCATCATCCTATGACTGATCATCCCAGATCATCCCATATAAAACTGAGGGAGAGAATGGTTCAGCTGAAGTGAAAAAGTTTGGAAGGTGTGGGGAGGGATTTGGGGCTGGGAACTTGGGATTTTGGCCTTTAAATTTCCATCATCCTATAATTGATAATTCCAGATTGTCCCATATAAAGCTGAGGGAGAGAATGGTTCAATTGAAATAAAAAATGTTTGGTTTGGAAGGTGCAGAGAGGGATCTTGGGGCTGAGAACTTGGGATTTTGGCCTTTAAAGTCCTATCATCCTATGACTGATAATTCCAGATAAAGCTGAGGGAGAGAACGGTTCAATTGAAGTGACAAATGTTTGGTTTGGAAGGTGTGGGGAGGGATTTGAGATTTTGGCCTTTAAAGTGGTTTCTGCCACTGTCCTTTCCTCCACTTGCTGAAAGATGAAATTTTCCTCATAGAGGAGCTTTAAGAAGAAAAACACAGTAATTTTTTAGTTTTCTGTGCTGGAGGGTTTAACAAAAAGTCAAATTTTGAGTAAATTGTTGGTGCTCCCCAGAACTGTGCAGTGTAAGAGTTACCTTTGGTTATCTCTGTTATCAATGGCCATTTTAGTTCTGTTTTTTCTTCTTAAGGGGCAAACAAAGGACACTTTATCTGTGAAGCAGGTATATAAACATTTGGTTTATAGAAATAAAGGGCTTTAGTGAGACTATATAAAGCACACACTGCCAAAACCACCACAGAGATGTTTGTGTAAGAGATTTTTCCATGACAGTTGATTTGTTGTGCTCCAGTTTGTTTGATTTCCCCTCTCTGATCCTTTTTCAGGTGCTGTTCAGATGCTTTCCACCACCTTCATTGGCTGCATCAAGATGTTTGTCCCCTGCTGTCTGTACCAGCACAAGACCAGAATCTCCTACCCCCCAAATTTCATCATGATCATGCTCTTTGTTGGATTAATGAGGTAAATAAAAAACATTCCCTGCTCTATCTTTGCTAATATTTCTGCTTTTCCAAGCCAAAGTTCTGTTCTCCTGTCCTTCCCCCATCAAGAAATATCCCAGAATAATTTTATTTTTATTTGCTGTTCCTTTACCCAGATTTCAATTTTTGGGCCCATTTTTTCAGTCCTCACTTCTATTTCCATGTACTT